TTGCCCATCTTATAGCTTCTTTGGTCATTAGGCTTGAATTTATCCTATTTCCTCAATCATCGTACTTGAACTCAGCTGATGAGAAAAACATCAGGTCTTGGGGAGATAGATAACTCACGTCGAGTGAGGAAATAGTATTTTGCTTAGATTCCCGTCTATGTGTCAGATCAGGAGAGAGCACTTAGCCTTGGAGAGCTGCAGTTGCTATAGCAACAGCTATAAGGTATTTGGTTAGGACTAGCGCTAGGGTGAATGGTCGTGGTACATTTTGTACTACCTACAAGGATGGCTGGTTCACTATCTGGAGGAGTGCAGAGAAGAGCAACAAAGATGATCAGTTCATTAGGGGAACCAGAGGCTAAAACATATGAAAAATGATTGCAGGAATCGAATGAACAGAAGGTGACAGGATAGCAGCGTTCCAATATTTAAAGGGCTGTCACAAAGAAGAGTAGGTCAACCTATTCTGCAAAGGACCCGAAGGCAGGATAAGAAGCAATGGATGGAAACTAATCAAGGAGAGATCCAACTTAAGAGAAATTTCCTGACATTGAGAACAATTAACCAGAGGAACAGCTTGCTTCCAGATGTTGTGGATGCTCTATCACTGGAAGTTTTCAAGAAGAGATTGGACAGCCATTTGTCTGAAACAGCGTAGGGTCTCCACCTTGAGCAAAGCTTCTAAACAATAGGGGCAATTTAACAGAAGAAACAATGTCATAAAAATGGTGGTCCATCCACAATGTTTTCAAACAGCCATTTGACAGCAGTGGTTAAAATCCACTATATATATGAAGTGTAAGCACTTATGGGCTTTTTACAACCTGTGGACTTCAACACCCCCCCCCCCGAATTCCTTAGCCAGTATGGCTCAGTTAAGGAATTGTGAAAGTTGAAGTTCACAGATTGTAAAAGGACCATAGTTGACCACCCCTGGTGTAGCTGAATGAGATTTTTATGTTCCTATGGTTAGGTTACTACTATGTTACATGTTATTCATGTAAGATTGTGGGATTCAAGCCCATTTGGTCATTTTCTTGAAGGTTGACATAAATTGAATTTACATAGAACTGATATTTATCTACACCCAACCAAACTAAGGTAAGGAAAACCCCCACAAAAATTGGAGCTGTGGAATCAAGAAGGAAAAGAAAAGAGATAGGGGAAGTATTGAGAAAAACTGTAAGAGAAAAACTGTAACTAAGAAGAACAAATATATTTAGTAGGGGATATGTAACTCCTTTCCCAGATACAAGAGTTATACAGCCTTTCTAACACAGAGAGACATGATTTCTTAGACTTAGGAAAGACTTGGGACCTCAAAAGTAGGATCTGGGATGTTGTCACTATTACCGACTCCCAGTTGTCCCAGTTCAGCTGAACTGGTAATGGTGGCTGTGGGGGGTTCCGCCCACCCACCCAGACACTTCTGCGCATGCACATGCGTGAGAAAACCGATAGTAAACTGGTTAGGAACCCACTACTGGATTTCTTAGCATTTGCTATTTTAGACTTGTTATCTTACTCTACCTAATGTTGGGCCTGATTTTTTTCTACAGGTTATTATGCTAAGTTATTAGTTGAATCTTTAAAAATGAAAGGCTGTGTCCATTGCAATTCTGGCTAACCAATTTTAATATGAGAAAACACAGAGGACAAAGAGGGAAGTAACTGCAAATAAAAGGCAAAGGATAAAGTCTCAGGATCCAATCGGAGTTTAGTCACCAGGACTGGAAAATTATTCTTCCAAGCTTTTGGAAACAAGCTGGGCCCATGTATCTCTCTCCAGAATGTATACTATAGGTAGCACAGGTAGTCCTTAACTTACAACATTTTGTTTAGTGACTGTTTGCAATCACATCAGCACTGAAAAAAGTGACATAACTATTTTTCACACTTACGGCCATTGTAGCATCCCTATGGTCACATGATTTACATTCGGGTGCTTGACAACTGTCTCACATTTATGACGGTTGCAGTGTCTGGAGGGTCATGTGATTCCCTTTTGCGACCTTCTGACAAGGAAAGGCAATGGGGAAACCTGATTCATTTAACAACTGTGTTGATTTGTTTAACAATGTGGGGGGGAAAAGTCGTAAAAAGGGCAAAATTCCCTTAACAAATTTCTCACATAACAACATACATTTTGGGGTCAATTGTGGTCTACCTGTATTTATATGGTGCCTGGCTGTGTGCGACATTTAATTGTTGATTCACTTAGTTCAGTTTAGTTTACTTCAGTCAGTTAGGAATTACTAATTTAGCTAGTAATTCCTCACAGGCTTGTTGTTGCAGTCAAACTCAAGAATCTTTATCATTCTCACAGTGGTCTTGCCAAAGTTATAGCTGACTGCCTTTTGCAATTCAGCCACAGTCCATCTCAATGAGGTGTCGTGTCTGGCAAAGAGGAATAACATTGACATGACAAGGCAAAGTGCACCATAGAAGCAGGATTTTAATGAAGGTTTGATAAAGCTTTGAAGGTGGACGATGGGACATCTGGCTAAATTAGTTGTTTTGCTTTGATGCACATCCAGAAGTTCCAAAGGAAAAAAATTCCATGCCCCTCAAATTTGTACTCACTGAAATTTCTGATCTCATTTCCCAGTCCTGCACATTTTTTTAAAAAAAAAAATTCACTCTGGTTTAAAGAAGTTATTGTTCCTAATAGGGATTTTAATCCCTTTCATTTGAAAGATCTTCTGAATAGCCCTATGTTCAGTTGATTCTCATAGAGTTGCAGTGGATTTGGTGTTAAAGTTTTAGGATATCCCGCACTTAAAGTACAACTGTATTCACCTATAGGTCTAAACTGTGATTTCTTTGTTTTATTGAGTAAACCACAGTTTGCTTGCTTCACATTACAAATAAGCCAAAACCAGCAAGCCACATGATGATTTAGTACAATATGGGAACCATGATAGGCATAAACTCTTTCCTGTCATAGGTTCAATTTCATAGATAGGAGAGATAAGGATTTATACCAATTTAGCAGTGAAGGTTTTTCCAATATAGTGCTGAAAACTACACCAAGAGCTATCAAAAAGGTTGAATCATGGCAACTGGACAAAGCTTCATCAGTCAAAATAAAAAATTAATTAAGCAGATAGTCGTTGGAATGCACCAACTCTTGCTACACCAACTACAGGGGTCTCTCCCCAAAATGTATTGCAATGTGTCAATGAAGACTCAATCACTGAGATAATTTCTATGCCATAAATTTATAGCAGCATTTTAAACAGAGGGATTTTGACTGTAATCCTCTCCTTTTAAAACTACATTTCCCTATACATTTGTTTCAGAATGAAGCCAAGCAGGTTGGAAATTGCTAAGAAATCTATTTAAAGAATCTGGTCTAGACTTCAGAAGAAGAATCATCTGAAACTTGACACTCTGTCAAAGTGTTAGAGAAAAGATGCCAATAGCTAAGTCAGCCTTTAACATGTGCCAAATGTTAGGATGCACTATTCACTGTGGCTGATATTATTGTTCCTAGTAAAAGTACTCTGGAATATGTTTCATTTAATTATGAATTTCCTTTGTAGCAAGTTACTCGTTTTATTAGTTAAATAAGTTGCCAGCAAAATCTAAAGCACCATCCCCAAGCATGTGCTTGTCAGATGAGTTGGGATGACCAATTCCCTATGCTGACCAGGGATTATGGGAGATGTTGTTCCAGGCTATCTGGCGAGAAGAGGAATAGCTGATCTAAAGAAGTTAATTCACTTCTTTCCCAAAATGATCAATACAGAAAATTAATTCTTTAGAAAGGCATGGGTGAGCAACACATATTATCATATCATAAAACTTCAATAAAGCTCAGTCCAGGGAGATGGAGGGGAAAAATACAGTAAAGTTACTTACGCCATGATGATAACAGAAAAATCCAGCCAATTCCAGGGGTCTCGAAGGAAAGTGAATTCAGTCATACAAAATCCTCTGGCCAGTATTTTTATCAATGACTCAAATGTGTAAATGGCAGTAAAAGTTTGCCTATAAAGAGTTTAGAGTCCAAGAAAAAGAGTGAGAATATTAGCAAATGGCAGGACAGAAAAAAATGCATAAATATACACCGGTCTTTCAATATCTAGTAAACTGCCTAACCTAATAGCCAGAAAAACAGAATAAAAGAGTTGGAGAACAGGTGGACTGACTTTTCTTTGTGGCAGCCCCTCAAATATTGGAACGCTGCCATGCATTCAGCTCCCAACACTGCCTAAAACTATGCCTGAAATTGTCACTATAATTGTTCTCTCCGTATACAAATAGACATGATAATATGGAGGTTTTTAAGAAGAGACTGGATATCCATTTGTCCAAAATGGTAGAGCAGAGAATTAAGAGTAGGAATAACCTCCAACTATGTTATTCTGTTATTCTGTATAATATATTTATGAAAATGCTGCTACCATATTCCTCACCATGTTTCCATCTCTGTTCATCCTTAGTTTTAACCTAGAGCCTGCCAGCCGCTCTGGAACTACAATTCCCAATATCCTTTGTCACTGGCCATGTTGTTGTCTAAGGTTGTTAGGAGTTCAATTCAATAACGCCTATAGGAACTCACGCTTCAAAATGCTTTTAATTTAATTGAAGCTGAGATTGAACAATTTCTTTCAATGGACATGGTTGTAATTCCATTATAAACAGGCTAGAAGTGCTGAAAATCTATTGTTAATTTATTTTTGTGCTGTAATATTTTCACTGTGATTTTTTTTGCTACTGGCAAAGCTAATGCAGCTGTGTAATTGAGATTTGGCTTGCTGTTCCACTGGTGCTGATCGTCTAGTCGCTTAACCAAAACAGAAGCGGATTGACTACTAACTGAAACTCAGCAGCTCCTGATTTGCCACTTGAACACAACCACACAAACATTTGCAGCAAGCTGACCCACTTTTCAGTATGGGCAATTTGGCAATAAATGAAAGTGAGCTGTAGGCTAGGTTGCATTGATTCCTACTATCACTTTAGTATGAATCTTCCCTATATTGTGCCTTCAGGATATTTTGGACTTCAACACCCATTTACCCCGGCAAGGTCGGTTTGGAAAGCATAGCAGCATGTTGTCCATACATCATAAAAAAACAAGTTGAAGACGACTGCCATAGTTAGGAATAAAATTGAAAACATGATTTTGCAGAACAGCAACTTTCTCTTCCCTATCACCACTGTTCATCCTTCTGACCCAACAGTAGATAACCATCAATTATAGTTAGTATTTGATTTTTCTTCGTTGTGCATTCTTTTCAACATCATTTTCAAGTTGTTGTTGATGTTCAGTTGCTAAATCTTGTCCGATTCTTCATGACTCCATGAATCCATAGCATGCCAGCACCTCCCTGTCTGCCCAAATTCATGTTCATTGTGTTGATGATACTATCTAATCATCAACTCATCCTCCGCCATCTCCTCCTCCTTTCTTTCCCAACCTTAGGGTCTTCTCCAAGGATTCCTATCTTCTCATTTGGTAGCCAAAATATTTGAGCTTCAGCTTTAGGATCTGGCCTTCCAAAGGACAGTCAGAGTTGATTTCCTTTAAGACTGACTGATTTGATCTCTTTGTAGTCTAAGGAGAGTCTCTCAAGAGTCTTCTCCAACATCACAATTTTCATTTTCAGGTACCATGCCCCCAAAAGGGTTTTTTTTTTAAAAAAAAAACAAGAAATACCTCACATCAATTCTATCTTGAATTTACACAACTGCAAAAGTTTGCTACTCCTTTTACCCAATCTTCTAAATCAGCTTTCTCCAAAATATTTCTTCTAGCTACACCTTGACTTTGAGTCCCAGAATTCCCCATCGGCATAATAAAGCAGGATGTAGAATTCTGCAACACCTCTGAGGGACATGGGTGCTTCAGAAAGAAGAAATATAAATAAATAATATGTAGAGGCTGCATGTGTATTTGTATGAACAGGAAGTCCTCAACTTAGGACAACAATTTGGCCCAAGACAGTTGTTAAGTGAGTTTTGCCTCATTATATGACTTTTCCTTCCACAGTTGTTAAATGAATCTCTGCAGTTGTTAAGTTAGTAACACAGTTGGTAAGTGAACCTGGCTTCCCCATCAGAAAGTCACAAAAGGCGATCACATAACTCCTGGACAATGCAACTGTCACAAACATATGCCAATTGCCAAATATCTAAATTTTGATCATGTGACCAGGGGGACACTGCACAGGTCATAAGTGTGAAAAACAGACTTAAATGACTTTTTCAATGCTACTGTAAGTTTGAACAGTTGCTAAACGAATAGTTGTTTAGTCAAGGACTACTACTTGTATACTATGCCTGTGAGAAACACAACAAGGGCAGCTTTTAAAAACAGATCTTGATCACATGCAACTGTAAATCCGGTTAATGTTCCAAAAGAGGAGAGAAATATGCCCCGTTTTACAGGATTTTCACTGCGCCTGGAAGTTGGGACTGCCTCTAAGATCCTGTCTGGAAGAAGGGCATTTTGTCCTCTTTCCTTCTGGCGCCCATAGTGAGGAGCAGATGGCTGTGTTTATCATCCATCAGTCAAAAATAAAAAGTGTGTTCTGGTTGGTGCAATGAGCCACACTAATTGTTTAATGCACTGCACTTAGATTAAGCCTTTGCATCTGGTATCCATTTCAGTAAGAACTTGCAGAAGTGCAGGCTTGGCGTACCGAACCTTCATACAAGAGGTAAGTTTCAGAAGTATTTATATATACAAATCCAAATTGTTTCATTTTGTCACTCCAGCATTACCTATTGATGAATAGATAGTCAGAGTTGATCCTTATCCAATTCTGCAAAAAAGTATTTCTAATGTCTGGCAGAGTGATGTGTCTCTAACCCCAGCAGTGACTACAAGTAGTCCTCAGCTTACAACAACAATTTACAAACTCAAAATTTCCGTGGCTAAGCAAGGCAGCGATTAAGTGAGTTTTGAAAACCATTTTTTGGTGTTTTTGCCATTATTGGTAAGTGAACCACTGCAGTTGTTAAGTGAATCATGTGGTCATTAGATGAATCTGGCTTCTCCCATTGACTTTGCTTGTTGGAAATTGGCTGGGAAGGATACAAATGGTGATCAGATGACCCGGGGACACTGCAACCATCATAAATACACGCCAGTTGCTAAGTGCCCAACTTTTGACCACATGACCATGAGGATGCTGCAATGGTCATAATGTGTGGAAAATGGTCATAAGTCACATTTTCAGTGCTGTTGTAACTTTGAAGAATCACAAAATGAATGGCTGTAAGTTGAGAACTATCTGTAGTATATTATCTGCAGTATGCACTTTCCAAATTCCATTAAGGGTAAGTGTGTTGTTAGCCTTTAGATTACAAACTTCTCTGAGAAAAGTCCACTTCTCTAAAAGCTATATAATTTATCTGAATCAATTGTGTTTTGTCAATGCACTTGAGGTACACTCTGACAAAACACAATTTAATCATATATTTTAATAGATACTAATTCCATTTTAGTTTTCAATAAATTTTGAATTTATGATTTAGCATCCCCCACACTAGAGAATATAAATAAGGTGGTTACAAGAACATGGACAGTTCTCACATGCCCACTTCCCAACTTAAATTATATACAGCAGGAGTCTATTATGCAAATTCAAACAGAAAATAAAGTTCTGAAAAGATACTTACTCCACGTATTTATTCCACGGAGGCAGTTCGGACCACGCCATGAATACACAGTTGGTTAAAATAGTGCACATAATAAACATACTGAATAATGTGGAAGTATGAGTTAAGGAAATAACTTTAAAGGAGTTTTGAATTTTAAAAACATTTTTAAAAATGAGCTCTTCACACTTTTACTGTTATGGCTCTGCAATACTTTTCCTGTTTCACAGCTTTTATTCATCCTTTCCATAAATAAAATGCAACGGTTGGATTTGCTATAGACATATGTACAGTATGTATGTATGAGTACAGATATGCAAAGTTATACAGATATAACTTAGGTTGAAGTTTACAGAAAAACACATAGTCAAGAGAATAATTCTTAAAGCAAAGTCAGTGATCAAATATTGCAAATATTATCTAGTTGGTTATTGAATATTATTCGATATGTTTTTATATATACAAGCTTTTCTCAAATGAAATCATTTCTTTCAGGAAAAAAAATACCTGTAGTATTTATATCATTAAGACCTCTGCTCTCTCTGGTGAATTCAAATGTGTATTTATTTTATTTTATTAAATTGCTGGTGAACTTCTGCTCTAAGAATCCTTCAGATTTGGCCATTATGGGTTAATTGGTTCAGCAATATCAGGAAGGTCTGACAGATACATATTCAAGTGAAACTTAAGACCTGGTGATTAATTTTTTTATGATCTATCATTCAAGTTCTAATAAATCTATTGCAACCAGGAAGAAAGGAAGGAAGGAAGGAGGGAGGGAAGGAAGGAGGGAAGGAAGGAGGGAAGGAGGGAGGGAAGGAGAGAGGGAGGAGTTTATTGTCAATTGACCGTATCAAATACATAAAACTGATACAAAAATACAAGTTGATACAAGGAAAACAACAAAACATGTTCATAATACACTGTGACCCCTACAGTTAACTCCAGTCTGATCTACCTATTCAATTCTCTTCAAAAGGATCTTTGAAATGAAACATGTAATCTTACTGATCAGAAATCCTTGATGCTCTCTGAATTTGGTTGTTTTCTTTCAGGTGTTTCGTTACCCAAACTAGGCAACACCATCAGTGCTAAAAGGGTTTGCACTTCTAGCACTGGTGATGTTATCTAGTTGGGTAACGAAACATCTGAAAGAAAACAAGCTCAGAGAGCACCAAGGACCCCTCGTTTCAACTCTGAGCTACAAATATTCTCCTTTATCAAAATACACTTTCTTTTCAATAGAAACTGTAAGTTTCCTTTTTATTGCAGCCTAAAAAAATCATGTGTAGATGAAGTTGAATCCAAATGTATATTTTCAGTAAAAACTGATTTTCCTACTCCCAAAATGTTCCTAGGGGGAAAAAAAGGGGGGGTAGAGCCTTACAAAATAGCCAAGATTAGATTCTCTTAAAATACATTTTAATAAGGTCCATGTTGAACGGGAACACAGGTGTGGTGCTGCCAATTCAGCATAAAAAGAAAATGAAAAGGATTCATAAAGAAGAAGAAGAGGAGGAGGAAGGAAGGAAGGAAGGAAGGAAGGAAGGAAGGAAGGAAGGAAGGAAGGAAGGAAGGAAGGAAGGAAGAGAGGACCAAGCAAACAGAAGCCTGCTTAGGAGAATAGGGTTCTCTTTCACAAATGATTATAAGTGGCACCCTAACTAGTGATGCAATTGGTATATAAGAGGCCTTGGATAAGGAAAAGTGACAGTTCCCTGCCCCAAGTAACTTACAACCTAAATTTAGAATAGAAAGATGACAGAAGAAATAGGAAATAGATAACAGAGGATGAAGGTAAGAATGTACAATGTGTGTGTGTGTGTGTGTGAGAGAGAGAGAGAGAGAGAGAGAGAGAGAGAGAGAGAGAGGGAAGGAGGGAGGGAGGGAGGGAAGGAGAGACAGAGAGAGATCGAGATCTTCCCCAATGTGGTGCCCAGCGGCAATTTGGGGACTTTTCAATTTCTTTATAAGCATGATAACTCAATGAAAGTGATGGGACTGCACCTGCCACATATGAACAACCAGATCCACATATGAACTGTTCAATTAGGTACTTCAATCCTCCTGTCTATTTCACAGGAATCTTTTCAGACGGGTGGTTTGGGAATTCAATGGCATTCAGGGGGAGGGTTGTCAGACCTTGCCCTCTTGTGCTTCTGCAAAGATTCCAGACTAATTCCCCCTTTGACTCCTCCCCTGGCTCAGCCAGTCTCTCTCTGGATGGTATAGCCCTGTACATTGTTTAAAAATATTGCAGTTTCTTCTCTTCTTCCAAAAGACACTTGAGTTGTTGGATTAAAACTTACTGGTCTAGGGAAGATAAGGACTAGCCTCCTGTAAAGTGGCATGCTGTAACTGGTTACATTGTCTTAAAAGGCTAGACCGAAAATGTAAAATGGGGCAAAACTCACTTAATAACTGTCCAAGAAATTTTGGACTCAGATGTGATTGTAAGTTGAGGACTACCTATAACTTGGTATTTACCAAGAACTGTTGACAATATCAAAGCAGCCCTGTGCCCTATTTAATTATTCCCAATTTGGCTTAATTAATCAGTGGCCACATCCATCTGCCCACATGTCCTGACTTCTTTTTATACCTGATCACACATAAAATGAAGCTGGATTATGGCCTTCCAATCTTCCATCCCACCCAAAACAAAACCCCACTATCTACAACACAATTATCTCAATGGCTGAAAGGTGAACTTTTAAGCAGGGGTATGCCTTTCCTTTGTTGGGGGAAGAAATAGAAGTAACCGGATATTATTTTTTCCTGCCCAATATCTACTCTCAGAAACCCACTGGGTTGCTAACCTAGCCTGCTAATTCCCACATGAAAACTTAGAAACTAGTAATTGGACTCAGGAGTAAAAACAGTAATCAAAAACATGTTATTCCCCTGGGATCTATCTCTCCCGATGAATAGCTGTAGAGAATTGCAGACGGCCAGCATCACTTTCTGCCATCATGTCTTGGTGAACACTTATTTTTATAATCTAGGTAAGAAGTTAGAGATTTGAGGTCCCAACTCAGCTCCTGGGGAGTGAGTCTCTCACTTTTTTTACTCTTCCCAACAAAGGAAGTCACTTTCCTAACACGCCTTTCTCATTGGTGAGAAAATAGGATATCAGAAGGAAGCAAAATGATTGCAACTCCTGTAGGGAAAATGGGAAGAAGTCAGTGTCCTTGTGGGCAGAGAAGTCGGTATCCTTGTGGGCAGAGAAGGATTAACAAGCACATTATTTGAAGCTGATTGCCAAAATCGGTGTCATCTACTCTTTATGTTGAGTTTAGCTCCAAATATGAAATAACTGTCAAGCACCAGGGGACTCAGGCGGTTCAGGAAGTTCAAATCGGCATAAAAATTTATTGCGAGCTCTTTACAAGAATCTGACCAACTAGTCATTAAGAGAAATGAGTGGGGAGATAAGAGAGGTCTTTAGGGTGGGCTGCTCTCTTGCAGGCATGCAGGTACTCAAGACTTACAATGCGTTTTACAATAACTGCGATTCAGAAATGCATTCTGATTAAGGATACACACAATATTTATTTTAAATAAAATATTAAACACCATTCTCTCTTCCTTCCATTCTTCCTACAAGACAACTCTTGAACATGAAAAGATTAGCCATTCTAATCAGCAGCTAAGCAACAACATTCAATCACAAAAGCTTAAAGAGGTACAGGTAGTCCATGATCTACGACCACAATTGAAACCAAAATTCCTGTTCCTAAGTGAAACAGTCATTAAATGGGTTTTGATCCATTTTACAACCTTTTTGAGACAGTTGTGAATTGATTTATTACAGTTGTTACATTAGTAACACGGCTGTAAATTGAATCTGGCTTCCCCATTGACTTTGTTTGTCAGAAGGTCGCAAAAGTTGGTGATTCTGGGACACTGCAACCATCAGACATATGTGTCAGTTGCCAAGCATCCAAATTTTGATCACGTGACCATGAGGATGCTGCAAAGGTTAGAACCATAAAAAATGGTCATAAATCAGTGCCATTATAACTTTCAATGGTTACCAAATGAATGATTGTAAGTCAAGGACTACCAGTATCAACTAGAGCCGTGGTGGTGCAGTGGTTAGAATGTAGTACTGCAGGCTACGTCTGCTGACTGCTGATAGTCAGCAGTTTGGCAGTTCAAGTCCCACTGGCTCACGGTTGACTCAGCCTTCCATTATTCTGAGGTGGATAAAATGAGGACCCAGATTGTTGGGGGCAATAAGCAGATTCTGCAAACCACTTAGAGAGGGCTGGAAAGCACTGTGAAGTGGTATATAAGTCTATTGCTATTGATCTTATAGATATGGAAGGACTTCAAAAGTAACTGAGTCCAGGCTAATGCTGATGAAGGAACCTTATGTTCCTTTTGACCATCCTGACAAGTTGTTATTCTCCATGAAAGATTATCTTACCTTGTAAGATCATTTGTGTCAACATCAATACTCCTAGCAGAAGAAAGTTCTTAGGTGGACTCAGAATAACAGAATTGGAAGGGACATTGGAGGTCTTCCAATCCAATGCCCTGTTCAAGCAGGAGACCCTCTATGATTTCAGACAAAAGGTGTCCAGTCTCTTCTTAAAATCTCCAGCATTTGAACACCCATAACTTCTCAAAGAAAGTCATTCTACTGATTAATTGTTCTCACTGTCAGGAAATGTCTCCTTAGTTGCAGGTTCATTCTCTCTTGATTAGTTTCCACCCATTGTTTCTAGTCCTGCCTTCAGGTGCTTTGGACCCCTCTCTTCTTTGTGGGAGCCCCTCAAATATTGGAACACTGCTATCATGTCACCCCATAGTCCTTCTTTTCACTAGACTAGACATACGCATTTCCAGTTAATGTTCATCGTATGCTTTAGCCTCCATCTTGCCATTCAACCTCCTTACCCTACCATCCAAACCAATAGAATTTACTCCATCCGCTACCTGACAGCCCTTAAATCTTTCATGACAAATGTCATAAAATTAAATCACATCTCCATGCAAAGCATAAGCCATTGTATCAGGCCTTCTGACCGGAATGCAAGATCTATATAAAGAAATGTAAAACTGACCTTGGGGGAAGATATCAGAGAATCTGCTTGCATAGTCCAGAGACAGAGAGAAGCTTAAAAAGATACTTAAAATAACACAGCCTTGATATTGCTTGGTGTAACATGGAACAGAGAGGAATCTGGAAAAAAATTTGAGATCCTTTTATTCAACCTTACTAAACAACATTCCTGGAATCCTTAATGCCTTCTTCTTGACATATCCTACCTAAAGGGTTGACACCTACCACAATATTGTTAGATTTCCCCATCACTACTAATTCTAAGCAAAATTTTTACACCTTTCTGTTCACTGTTGTGTGCACATCACTTTCTTGAGCCAGTCAGTGTTCTTTCTAATTACCCAGTAAATGGGAGCTAAAATGACACATGAATGGTTGTTAAGTGAATCTGGCTTTTGCCATGGCTTGTTGGAAGCCAGCTGGGAAAGTTACAACTGGTGCACACCACCCTGGGACCGTGCAACTATCATAAGTACATGTCAGTTGCCAAGCATCTGAATTTTGATCAAGTGACCATGGGAATGCTGCAGCAGTTATAAGTGTGAAAACTGGTGATAAGTCACTTTTTTCTGTGCCATTGTAACTCTGAACAGTCATTAAACAAATGGTTGTAAATCGAGGATTACACGTACTCAGTAATTCAATTTCTTTTTATTCTTCAGTTGTCGGGATGATCATTCAGGGCCAGGAAAAAAACAAAGATAAAACCCCGATTGGTGCATGGTGCCCAGGTGAGCAGCAAAACTTCCACTTAGGGCAGGGGTCCCCAATCTGGGAGCTGAACTTCACAAAGCCGCCAAGGTTGGAGTCCCTTGCCCGAAGAGTAATGATGAAGATGAGGCACAGCAACCTTTTTCCACTTGGAGAGAGGAGTAGATATCAAGATGTGAGGAGCAAGACAGGAATTATTTTTAAAAGGGAGCCATCTATCCTGCAGCTGCAAAGGAAGCCTGGACAATCACTAGCCTCAAATTGTATAGTGTCTGCTGCTTGAGCAGAGGGTTGGACTAGAAAACCTCCAAGGTCCCTTCCAGCTCTATTCAGATTTAAGTGCTACTGAACTGTCTTTGTAACATTTCCCCTGGACTTGAAGTCTTGAGTCTAAGAGGATTTTATCTTCATTGTTCTGTGATGAAACAGCAGCCTGCACAAGAGGCAGACGGAGCAGAATAATGAGGGCGGTGTTGTGTTGTCATGTTGTAAATCCCACCCCTTTTATACATGCACATATATACAAATAGAGTGAAGATTACAGCACAATGGTGTCTCGTTCTGACTAAAGCAGCAGGATCTTCAAGACACATTCCAGTTCATTTATTTTCTTATTATGCTATGGAACAATAAGCATTGCAAAGGAAGGTTTGCTCAAAGAAAAAAAAGAGTTCAGAGATATATTTTTTTAACAGTAGAATTGAGGGAGGGGTCACTGCTGGGATATCGCCAAAGCCTGATTGGTCCAGAGACTGAGGAAAATTTCTTTTATGCTTCGTCATTCCCTGTTGGTTCCCAGTTTCCCCTCAGTCTTTGGTCCAAACACTGGTTTTGGTTCCCCCGAGGAGATATTTATTCAAGATTTCTCGGTTCTGGATTAATTTGGCTAATTGACTTACTTAAATTCAACTAAATTACAAATTGAGCTGCTGCCCTATGATACTGGGTTTCCGGCTTGCCTGTATGCTGGGGAAGATCCATCCGGACTTCTCTACCCTGCTCAGGGTTTGGGAGCTCTGTACAGTCCCTGGGCCAGCGGGAGTGACAGACTCTGTCCTTGCAGCTCCACGGGAGGGCTGCGAAGAACGATCCAGTGTGGCGCGGCCGCCCTTCCATTCAGCAAGCCGCGCCTGAAGAAATAACTCGCAGCAGCTCTAGTGGCTTAGAAATCGGCGCACGAGCTTCCCTCGGCACCGCGATTTCAAAGGTGAGCTGCAGCTTCTCAGCTAAGCTGAGAATGAAGAAAGGAGCCGAGCGGTTGCAAGGCGCGCAAAGGACAACTAGGCAAGTCACAGCGCCATTAAATGAAGTTTTCAGTGAGATGCTCGAGACCTCCGGCAGCCATTTTAAGGCACGCATGTGGAGGTAGCCATTTTGAGGCCCGGGCCTGCATCGTGCCCATAAATTGAGGCCGGCAGGTAGCATTGATCATCTTGTAACCCCTGCAGCTCCTGCAAGGGCGCGATTCCCCCAGGCATCTTAGTCAGCCACAGCCTTCTCATCAACAAGGCCACCTGAGTGATATGGGTGATTCCAGGCCCGACAGAGCCCTAGCTCCAGGGGAGCCCCTGGAGCACCCCCTAGCAGGGGATTTGGATAGGCCCAGGACACAGGCGGCAGCCTCTAAACCTTCTGCTGCCAAGCGCCCTTCCAGAGCAACAGTCCGGGATGAACTTAGGCACCAACGTGCCCTCAAAAAGAGAGTAGCAAGGGTGGAGAAGCAGGCCCAGGCAGCAAGGCCCTCCTCTTCTGCCAGATCCAGGTCACCAATTAGACCAGGATCCCATTAATCGGCCTCCCCTCCCAGGAGTTTCAGTCCATCCTCCCCTTCTATCTCTCCTCCTAGGCCATGTAGGCAAACCAAACAGGAGATTTCCCCTTCCCCACCTGCATCTCCAAGGGTGATTGAGGAAAACCAAGGGGATCCATTAGAGGGTTCGTCTCGTGACTTCCTTCCAGCTGCCATCCTTGCTCCCCAGTCACCCCTTCCAGGTCCCTCCAAGAATGAGCTTGATGATTTGGAACTCCTTCCTGAGACTATTAAACGCCTTATATCTTCTGCCATTACTAAAGGTATTGCCACTGGCCTAGCTCAAAGAGCCACCTCTTCTCAAACTGAGATCAGGCCTCGTTCTGATGTTAGACATCCCTCTTCTACCCGCAGGCAGGAGAATCCTAGGCCCCCTTCTCCTTCTGTAATGAGTGAAGGGTCTATCTTGGGGGAGGAGGTCCATCAAGATATGGGATTTTCGGAGGATGAGGACATCGTTCCCCCTGACCTTCCGGCCTTCCCTGGTCTCTTCTCTCCTCCTATGTTTAAAACCTTATTACATAAGGCAAGAAGGACCACTAAAATAGGCACAGGGGACCCTGATGTTCCCAAGCCAAGAGATCCCAACCTGGCCATGTTTTATAACACTGCCACCAACAAGGAGGAGGTCCCAGCCCCTCCTCTATTCTTGGAGGTAGTGAAAAACCAATGGGGACGTCCCTCTACTCTTCCCAACCCTGGGAGTAACGACTGCCACTTCTACAACATGGAGCAGGCCTTTTCCCAGGCCCTGCAGTTGTCAACTGTAGACACCCCAGTGGCTGCCTTAGCCATGGCCTCCACAGTAGTGTCAGGTGATGCAGTCGACAAGTTAAAACCAGAGGACAAACGTGCGGAACTTACCTTGCATAAGAATTTCACTGCTTCGGCTGGGCAATTAGATCTGCGGCAGTAGCCTCCTATTTCAACCGCACCACTGTCATGTGGCTACGTCAACTGTAGGACTACATCCCGCCTCAGGATGAGCACCTGCTACAAGATCTCATGAAGATCATAGCTGCCACACAGTTCTTGGTGGACACCACTCTGGATTCCATCAAATATGCATCCTGAGTGTTAGCTACCTCAGTGACTTCCAGTCAGCTCCTCTGGCTCCACAGTTGGCAAAGGACAATAAGTCCAAATGGAACATGGCAGCGGTCCCATATACTGGCACTAATCTTTTTGGCAAGTGTCTAGACCCAATTCTCATAGAGAATAAAGACAAGAAAAAGGTCCTGCCTACCAATGCAAAGAAGCCAGACACTCGCCCTTCCCACTACCATAGGTCTTCTTATAAGGCTCCTGAGTCTGATTTCCATCAATGTAGGTTCTCCCCCTACAGATCTGATAGACAAACCCAATGACCTTATTACCAGGACAGGAATAGGTTCCAGGCCCAGTCCAGGCAGCCCTTTCATGGAGGGGGAGGCGGCCCTTTTCGCAAAGGGAAATGACTCCAACCCGAGTCTTCCCATCGGTGGCCGCCTGGAACACACGAAGATGGGATCAGATAACATGGACGCCTGGGTCAGGTCGATCATCAGGTTCAGCCTATGCTTGGAGTTTCTCTCTCTGTCTCTGACGTTCTTCAGGACCTTTTTCCTGTCTTGGGATCCAGTCTGTCACTACCTCGTGTCCCTGGCCATTCAACATCTGCTGGACATTCGGGCAGTGGAGGAGATTCCGAAGGCCGAACACGGGTTGGGTCATTACCTCTTTGTGGTTCCGAAGGCCTTGGGGGGATGGAGGGTGATCCTGGACCTCAAGTGACTCAACCGTTACCTGGTTTACAGGCAGTTCAAAATGTTGTCTCTCAGGTCCATTCTCCAAGGGATCAGGGAAGGAGATTATCTAGCATCAGTGGACTTAACAGAGGTCTAACTCCACGTCCCAATCTTGCCCCTCCATCATAGGTACCTGAGATTCTCTCACAAAGAGCTACATTATCAATACCATGCCCATCCCTTTGCTCTCGCCTTGGCCTCTAGCACCTTCACGAAGGTCCTGGCAGCATTGGCGGCTCACCTACGCTCCAACCCTGTGAGACTCCAATGTTACCTGGACAATGTGCTCGTTCAGGCCCAAACACACTCACAGGCACTCCTCGACCTGCAACTTATCATTCAGACGCTACAATCCCTGGGATTTTTCATCAACTTCCGCAAAAGCCATCTATCTCCCACAACCAGAATCCTTCATTTGGGGGCGGTGATAGATTCCGTAATGGGTCTTGTTCAGCTCTCTCCAGAGCGCCTCTGCAGCCTTCAGTCCCTAGTGCGTCAAGTATGCACAAGTCAGTCTGTTTCCATCCTGACCTTAGCACATCTTCTACGCAAGATGGTATCCTGTATAGGGATTGTTCCCTGGGCCCGTCTTCATTCCAGGCCATTCCAATGGACTCTCATTCCGTACCAATGCAAGCGAATGAGCATGACAATTTGTCTCAACCTGGAGGTCCGTCTGTCCTTGAGATGGGGGCTGTCTCCAGCCTTGAGATGCAGCTCCGAGTTCTGGGAGCTGAACAGAATGACAATCACGACAGATGCAAGCTTCTTTGGTTGGGGGCTCTGATGGGCTCCCAAGTGTTGCAGGGTCAATGGACAACTTCAGACCTGCGCCACAATATAAATTGGTTAGAACTGAAGGCAGCCCGCCTGGCCCTCCGGCACTTCAAAGACCTGATAGTGGGCTACCAACTGCTCCTCTTAATGGACAATGTGGCAATGAAAGCTCACATGAACCATCAGGGGGCACACACTCCAGGAGCCTGTGGCAGGAGGCATTGAAACTCGGAGAGACAGTTGAAGTTGGTTGTGTCAGAGCACATCTCGGGCATTGCCAATCATCAAGCCAACTGGTTGAGCCGCAAGACCATCGACCATCGCAAGTAGCAACTCCAGCGCAAACTCTTTCTCAAGATCTGTTGGCGGTTCAGCACACCGCTGGTGGACTTGTTCGCAACACTGACGAACACCCAACTGCCAAGATTCTTCATATGTTTTCCGGCTCGGAATGCGGAAGGGACAGATGCTCTCAGGAGCAGATGGCCGCCCAGCTATATGCCTTTCCTCACCTTCCTCTCATCCCGGGGACCCCGAGTAAGGTAGTGGTAGAGACTTCAACCATCATCCTCATTGTACCATATTGGCCCAGACGGCTTTGGTTTGCAGACCTAGTCCAGCTCTCCATCTCACCTCCATGGAGGATTCCTTGAGAGGAAGTTGCCCTGTGCCAGGGGGTCCTGCTTCATCTGGAGCCCCAGTGGCTCCACTTGACCACCTGGCACTTGAGCGGCACCTCTTGAGAAATGCTAACCTGTCCTCCTGAGTCATAGCAACCATTGAGGCCTCTAGGCCACCATCTACCACACGAATCTACAATTTGACATGGTCAATGTTCACCTAATGGGGTTCCCCTCTGGGTATCTGCAAGAAGTCTAGGACCTGCACAACCGAGGCTTCGGTTGTGCAGGTCCTAGACTTCTTGCAGAAAGGTCTGGATGGGGTCTCTCCAATAATATCCTGAGACATCAGGTGGCTGCTCTGTCTTCAATTCTCACCGGAGATGACCTCCCCCCTCTTTTCCATCTTCCTTTGATAAAGAGGTTTCTAAAGGATGCAGCCCACCTTAGGCCCCCTCCGATCCATAGGTTCCCCACATGGGACTTGCCCCTGGTTTTGCAGGCTTTAACTGGGGCTCCCTTTAAACCGTTACAGACGATCCACTCCGTTTCTTATCTCTCCAGGTGGTTTTCCTAGTTGCGGCGACTTTTGCTCATCACATTTCTGAGTTGAGGGCCCTCTTGTCCATGGACGACGTTTCAGCATAATAGAGTGGTCCTGCGCCTGGGCTCTACTTTCCTCCCAAAGGTCAATTCCCCTTTCCATCGGGCCCAAGAGGTCGCGCTTCCCAACTTCTATCCTGCTCCTTCCAACAAGAGGGAATGCCTCTGGCATCGTTTGTCCACTGCGCTCTGTGCATTTATCTCTGGCGTACGGCGACCTTTCGCAAGTCTCAGGCCCTCTTCATTTCTTTTCAGCCCGGTTCTCTGGGAAGTAGGGTTTCATCTGCCACTATTGGCAGGTGGTTACACCAAGCGATCTCCACTGCCTATGACTCCTCAGGCCAGTCTCCTCCTGCGGAGATCACGGCCCACTCCACATGGAGTGCCACTACTACTGCAGCGTGAGCCACTAGGGCCATGAGGACATTTGTTAGGCAGCCACCTGGTCATCCCCGACTCCCTTTATACAACATTACCGAATAGATTCCTTCGCATCTGCTGACGCATCCTTCGGGCGCAGAGCTCTTCAGCAGGTAGCAACCACCCCTCCTTCTCGGTCTTAGTCCCTCCCTGGGACTGAGCTTGGGTGCCTCCCAGCAGTGACCCCTCCCTCAATTCTACTGGTAATGTTTGTTTTAAGTAGAATTGAGGGAGGGGTCACGTCCCTCCCGAGTAAGACTTAGTCAGCTAGTCAGGTGAAGGGTCGGGTGGTCTGTGGTCTGTTTGTTTTTTTGGCAGATTCGTACTGTGGCTTCGAGGAAACTGGGAACCAACAGGAAATGACGAAGCATAAAAGAAATTTCCCTCAGTCTCTGGACCAATCAGGCTTTGGCGATATCCCAGTAGCGACCCCTCCCTCAATTTTACTTAAAACGAACGTTCAGGTAAGGACCAACATTCTTTCTCTCTCACACACATCTGGCACTCTGCTTCTGTCAATGAAAACTTCTTCTGCTTTTAGCCATAGCATCAGCAATTTCGTTAATCGGGTTTAGCTGAACAACTGGAATGTGGGATCCTTGGTGATCTCCTCAGTTGATAGCAATCAACACTCAGATGAGCAGAGATTAATACCAAGATCAGTACTAAACAAACCATTAAAAAGTAAACAATACCCCAAGCAAGGAACCATCAACTCAGACAAACAAGCTAACAGTAAACCACAACCTAATGAAAGAACCAACTCCCTCCAACACTGACAAGGCAAGCCATAAAGAGAGCAAAGCCTTCTAGCACGGCTGATGTTACCTGATTGGGTAACAAAACGTCTGCAAAAACACCATCAAACTCAGAGAGCACTGATGCTTCACAATTCTCCTCCTCTTCCTCCTCCTCCTCCTCCACCCCCTCCATTCTGCAGACCCTTTCTTCTAGCACTGATGATGTTACCTAGTTGGTTCATAAAACATCTGCAAGGAAACTACCAAGCTCAGAGAGCACTGAGGACCCCACATTTCAACCCTTATAAATATTCTTTTGTATCTCTTCTGGGTTTGTTTTCTCTCAAAAGGAAGCCATTCTTTATTACTGGATCTAAACCTCTTCCTGAAGCTGGGAAGGCAGGAATGAGCAGCTCCCAGGCTGGCTGGTTGGCTGGCTGGCTTCTTATTTACTTACTTACTTACTTATTTTTTTTTTCATTTATTTTTTTTAAAAAACCATCTGCCTCAGACAGGCAGAACATCTCAACTACCTCCCATAGTGCAGGCTGTGCACTGCCTTGGAAAAATGTGAGGCCTAGGATTAAAATCCTAGAGCATAGTCACACATAGGTAGTCCTTGACTTATGACCATAACTGAGCCCAAAATTTATTTTGCTAAGCCAAACAGTTATCAAATAAGATTTGCCCCATTTTACCATCTTTCTTGCCACAATTGCTAAGAGAATCACTGCCAATGTTAAGTTGGTAGCATGGTTGTTAAGTGAATCGGGCTTTCCTGTTGAATTTGCTTGTCAGAAAACTGCCAAAAGGGATCACGTGACTCTGGGACACTGCAGGAGCCATAAATACACCCCAGTTGCCAAGCGCCTGAATTTTGATCATGTGACTGGAGATGCTGCAACAATCCTAATTATGGGGGAAAAGTCACAAGTCACTTTTTCCCAGTGCCCTTGTAACTTTGAACAG